GTCACCCAAAGAGGGGGTGACCCCAAAAATCAGCCCCCGGAACTCACCCACTTCAGGTCCTTGAGGCGATTGTACTCCTCGGCCAGGGCCTGTGGGGACACGGGGTCAGGGACAGGGACAGAGGGGACAGGGATGGGGGACAGGGGACAGGGATGGGGGACAGGGACACAGGGGTTAGGGGACAGAGGGGACAGGGACGGGAAGAGAGAGGGGACAAGAGGGACAGGGACAGGAACGGGGGTCAGAGACAGGGAGGGACAAAGGGGACAGGGAGGGACAAAGGGGACAGGGATGGGGGACAGGGACAAAGGGGTTAGGGGACAGAGGGGACAGAGATGGGAAGAGAGAGGGGACAAGAGGGACATGAACGGGGCTCAGGGACAGGGAGGGACAAAAGGGACAGGGGGACAAGAACAGAGAGGGGTCGGGGACAGAGGGACACGGGACAGGGGGGAGGGACGGGGACAGGGACAGAGAGACGGGACAGATGGGTCAGGGATGGGGGACAGGGGACAGGGACAGAGGGGACACAGGGATAGAGGGACGGGGGGACAGAGAGGGGACAGGGGACAGAGACATGGTTCAGGGGACACAGGGAGGACAGGGAAAGGGGGACAGAGGGGACACAGGGACAGAGAGGGGACAAGAGAACAAAGGGACAGGAGACACAGGGGACAGGAGGGTTAGGGGGACAAAGATGGGGGAACAAGGGACACACGGGACAGGAGGGGACAATAGCGGGAAATGGGAAAAGGAAGGGGACAGGAGACAGGGACAGAGGGGACAGCGGGGTCATGGAGGGACAGGGAGGGGACAATAAGGGGGGAAATGGGGGGAAAGAGAGGGGACAGAACGGACAGGAGGGGACAGAGAGGGGACAATATGGGGGGAAAGGGACAGAGGACAGAGAGGGGGAACAAGTAGGGGAGAAAAGGGGTAAAAAAGAAGGGAAAAGGGTCTGGAGAAAGGGATTAAACCCTTGGGCCTGACCTGGTACTGGGCGCTGTCCTCGGGCAGCTGCTCCAGCTGCTGCTCCAGCTGTGCCAGCTGCTGGCCCAGCGCGTCCAGCTGTGCACAGAGCTCCTTGTAGCGCCGCAGCCCCAGCGCAAAATCCTCCTTGTAGCGACGGCGGGAGGAGGGCGAGCTCACCGGGGGGTACAGCCTGCGGGACACGGGCCGGGGTGGGCTTTTCTGGGGTGGCCTTTGGGGCCAGGATGGGCTTTGGGGTCGGGATGGGGCTCTCTGGGATGGGCTTTGGGGTCAGGATGAGCTTTTCTGGGATGGGCTTTGGGGTCAGGATGGGCCTCTCTGGGATCGGCTTTGGGGCTGGGATGGGCCTCTCTGGGATCAGCTTTGGGGTCAGGCTCAGCTTTGGGGCCAGATGGGCTTTTCTGGGATGGGCTTTGGGGCTGGGATCAGCTTTTCTGGGATCAGTTTTGGGGTTAGGATGGGTTTTGGGGTTAGGCTCAGCTTTGAGGCCAGGATGGCCTTGTTTGGGCTTGACTTTGGGGTCAGGCTCAGCTTCTCTGCTTTGGGGTTAGGATGGCCTTTGGGGTCAAGATCAGCTTTGGAGCCAGGATTGGCTTTTCTGGGATTGGTTTTGGGGTTAGGATGGGCTTTGGCTTTGGGATCAGCTTTGGGGTTAGGCTTAGCTTTGGGACCAGGACTGTCTCTGGGTTCAGGCTTGGCTTTTCTGGGGGTTTGGGGTTTAAACTCAGTCCTAGCAAAGCCTCACCTGGGTCTCCCCAGTGTTCCCAGTCCAGACCAGTTTAGAGCCAATCCCAGCCCCAGCACTCCCAGTCCAGACCAGTCCGGCCCAGCTCCAGCATTCCCAGTTCAGAGCCTCTGCTCAGGTCACACCCCTGTCCCTGCTGTCCCCAAGTGTCACCTGTGCCACTCCTGGCTTTCCCCAGTGTCCCCTGCTGTCCCCAAGTGTCACCTGTGCCACTGTCCCCAAGTGTCACCTGTCCCAAGTGTCTCTCCTGTCCCCAAGTGTCACCTGTGCCACTCCTGGCTGTCCCTAGTGTCCCCTGCTGTTCCCAAGTGTCACCTGTGCCACTGTCCCCAAGCGTCACCTGTCCCCAGTGTCCCTGCTGTCCCCAGTGTCCCCTGCTGTCCCCAGGTGTCACCTGTGCCACTCCTGGCTGTCCCCAGTGTCCCTGCTGTCCCCAGTGTCCCTTGTCCCCAGGTGTCACCTGTGCCACTCCTGGCTGTCCCCGTCGTGCTCGTCTCCGGACTCGGGGGCCGTGGTGGGCTCGGTGTCGTACTGGGAGCACTGGGAGCACTGGGACTGCCGAGACTCCTCGGGCTCGGCCGGGCGGCGACCGCGGCGACCACGGCGGGCGGGGGGCTTGGGGTCCCGGTCCTGGGGCTCCGAGGGGCTGGGGGGGTCACTGGGGGGACATTGGGGACATCAGACATGGGGACATTGAACACAGGGACAGGGGGACATTGGGGACACATTTCACGACCCTCCAAATCCTTTCCCGACCCCTCCCTACATCCCCCTCCCTTTTCCCGACCCCTCCCCAAATTTCCCCTCCCCTTTTCCTATTTCTCCCATCCTTTCCCACCCTTTCCCTCCCCTTTTCCCGACCCCTCCTCACAATTCCTCCCCTCTCCAGCCCCCTCCCCATATTTCCCGACCTCCCCATCCTTTCCAGAATTTTTCTATCCTTTCC